CAAGAAAAACGAAAGCTATAAAAATATCAAGTAGCATCATCTAATTCTTTTCGGCTCATCCCATAGCTATGGTACATTTCCTGCATCTCATTTCTTATCTAGTGAAATAGCCAAATAGGCCATCACATGTCACGTCCCGTGGAGAAAGGAACAACCACATTTTGGGGGTACTGAAAATGATGAAACACTGGTGGAATTCTCACTATAATTCATTGTAATGCGCTGGGAGAGATTTTTGTTTAGCAAAGCCCTGCTAGCTGGAAAGACACAATTGTTCAGTGAGTGATGTCTTTACCTATTTTAACGTGTGATATTGTGTTATGCAGAGATTTGGCTCCAGCAGATCATAGGGCTGCATTTCTCAGAGGTGCCAAATGGACATGCACAGACACAGAGAATAGTTACGCTCCTAAAGCCTTGTCTCTTCAGAGGCTGGCTCAGATGATAACGTTGCCTCACAAAGTCCTAATGTAATTGAAGCAGGTGCCCATCTGGATAACTGCTGACTTCCCAGACTCGCCTCCGCGCTCCAGGCACACTGAACTCCCAGCAGTCACGCCTTTTCCTTCACCCTGGGCATCTCCGACACCACCATTCACATGCGTCCCCTCCCCTTCACGCTGTCCCCAATGGCTGAAATAGGCTTCTTCCCTCCCCGCTCCACCAGTGCCCGCTTTGTCCTATATTCCAGGCTCCAGAACTTGGCTTAGGCTCGAGCCCTTCTGGGAAGCTGCCTCGACTTCCATGTTGAGGTGGGTCTCCTTCTAAGCGCTCCCGAGAGCCCTCTGCAAACCCTGGTTGTAGCGTTCTAGCCCTTTGCTTATTTTCCCCATTGGATAGTGAGCTTCTTGAGGATCAAAACCATCAAACTTGTCTTTTTATTAACAACACCGAGAATACTGCCTGGCACCTGGGGCGGAGGGGAATGCAACAAACATGTGTGGAATGAGTAAGCAGACAAAGGAATGAGTGATGTCATCCTGGTCTGTAAATGAAAGATTAACAAGAATTGTAACTAACTCTTACTAAGTTTTTTCCATGGGCCAGGCGTGGTGTTGCGCTTTTTGAGAAGCATCCACTCATGTATTCCCTTCAACAACTCTATGAGACAGATATCTTTATTTTCCCCATTCTAGGAATGAGAAAATTGAGACACAGAGAGTTAAATGACCAAGATCCCACCATGCCAACAGATTTCAGCCTTTGATTTGTTGAGCCCTTTACACTCAGTCTGCCCTGTGGGGAGATGCCCCCAGGCCCAACAACTCAGACTAAGAGGACAGTCAGAGGAAGACCGCATAGTCTGAGCCTTATTACAATACAGAATAAAATCTGGTGAAAACTGACATCCACCATGGCTGCAAATGGAGGTCAAGGGGGAAGTTGTCAAAAAAGGGGCCACATGCACGTGAGATGAGACGTCTGTGTGGAGCAGAGGGAGTAGCCCAGACTGCAAAACCTGCCTGCATCCTTTTGGTGGTCCTTGGGGACTTTGTGCTGAAAAACTCAGAAATTTAAAACAGAAAACAAAGACCTGTCAGCTGGTGTCACTGCTGTCTGCTTCCTGGCGTGGGGGCTCCAAAGCCACCTTAGATCTAGAGAGGAGACTGTTGTCTCCATGAGGTCAGGGTCATTTCTGCTTTTGTACTTTATGATTAACACCGTATGTCAAGCCTTTAGCACAATACTTGACACGTAACAGGTGCTAACTAAGTATTTGTTTGAAAGAAGGCATAGGTGGGGTAGAGAGCAAATGCTTTAGAATCAGAAAGATTGAGGTTGGAAGCCTGTACCTGTCACTGATTAACTCTCTGGCCTTGGATAAATGACTTGACCTCTCAGAGTTTCAGTTTCCTCGTGTGAAATGAGGACAATATGATTCACCTTACCTGGTGGTTTGTATGTTGCTTGGGTGTGTAATGATCAGTAGGGCAGAGGGCATCACACGGCGGGTGGGGGGAACCCACGGATTGTGCATGGCAGAACAGTGACTTGCGCACGACGTAAACAGGTAAGAAGACGGGGCGGAAGGATGCAAGAAACAAAACTTCACGTAAAAATAAGTAAGCCGCAGAAAATTAGGAGTGACGTGTGACTAGAATGTTCCCTAAATGCAACAGAAGGGGAGAGAACCAGCTTTTCTAATCCTTACTAAACTGATTAGTTATTTCCCACTTATTGACTTTTAGGCCCCGCTATGGGTAATCTCATTTTTTTCATATTGGTTTCTTGTTTACCTCTAGAAAAGTTTTAATAATAACTCATATAAATAAGAAACCGATTTTATAATATAGAGATTTGCAAGGACTGTCTTTAGGAGATTCTGCCATTTTTTTAGAACACAAGAAACTTATTTTGAAACTCTCATATGGTCTCCCAAAGTGCTTCCTAGAAATCTTTTTAGAACATTAATTTGGCAGAAAATAGACATCACAATTTGGTAAGAAGCCTAGAATCCTCGTTTGTCCTTTGTTTTGGGGATAGTGTACTCCATTTAGGCGTGTGTGTGTGTGTGTGTGTTTGTACTTCAGTAAAATAGTGTTACATATTACAGATGTTGGCTGAGGTACTCTTAAATAAACAAAAGCTAAGTAAGAAACAGCAGCACAGTCATCCAACTATGCTGACCTGCTCCTCCTTACTCTCCTGTCGTTTCATATTCACAGATAGCTGTTAAGAATTTCTTTCTGATTTTCCAAGCACTCTTCCATCATTTAAACAGCACCTCCAATCTAATCAAGTCTGAACACTGACTGGGGAGAAACCTGTCCACTTGCATGTAAACCTCCAAGTTCTCCATCATGGGTCGGGACACCAGCTTCCTTGATTCTCCCAAGAATGGATGTGCCTGTCCCTTTAACTCGTAACATAGCTTCCCTTTATGCTATTTGTGGTTTATATCACTGTACGTCTTTTTTCTTTAAATTAAAAAAATAATTATGAAGTGCTTCAAAAACAAAAGAATTTCAAAAATATGGTATCAGACACCCACCCTCAAACTAAAACAGATGCTAATAAATTAAGGAATTAAACCTTGCAGGTGCAGCTAAATCTCCATCTCTGTCCTTTCCCCACTTCTCCTTCCGAAGAGATAAGCATGGTTCCTGGCACTGGGGGACTTCATTTCTATGAAATGTCTCAATAATTCTACTATATATGTGTATATATATATATATATATACCCCCTCAAAACTCTACTTTGTCATAAGTCCAAAGTCGTATTTCTTATCTCCACACTGGCCAAGCCCCTAGGTTCCCGAGAGCAGCCACTGTGCCCTGATACCACCTCCCAGGGCCACTGTCATGTCACCTCACGTCTCACCGGTTTTCAGTCCCTGGGGCATTTTGGGAACCCTGTGATGTCCCCTTCTCTCTTACAAACTTAGCTATGTGTGTAAAAGTAAACACTTTAGCCAGCATATCTGAGTGGCTTTAACAGGAATGTTTTCGGGTGCTGTTCCAGAAAGCAGAAGTTCTAACTTGAGTTTCACAGACCCATCACTTTCCTGAAGTAGTTCTCTCACGCCTTGTGTTGCTGCTTTGATGGGACTGTGCATAACAGGTACTGTGTCTCCTATCAGTGTGGATTAGGGCCCTTGTATCTGGAAGAGTGAGTCTCCCAGACCTATTTTCTCCACCACCTCTGAACTATAAGATTCTGTGACTCTTAGGAACTGTAACATGAATGACAAGTACTTAGCACGTGACAAAATTTTTTTACAATAATGTGAACTAAATGTTGGCATAATACTGCATAAAATATTTTATACCAAGCTTAAAAAAACAAATTTCATTCCCTTTGTTAAGAATATTTCCTAGAGGGGAAGGATGTAGCTCAAGTGGTAGAGTGCATGCTTATCATGCATGAGGTCCTGGGTTCAATTCCCAGTACCTCCTCTAAAAATAAAAGAGCAAACCTAATTACCTCCCTCCTCCTCCACTAAAAAAGAAAAATTTCCTAGAAGTGACCATACATATTTTCTAGAAAAGATATGTATGGTCATGAAGGAAAATGACTTGCTTAATAAATGTGGATGTCGGTTTTAGCAAATTACCTCAAAAGTGTGCCTTCTTTTCCTTGACGGTGGGTATTTTGTGATCTTTTTCTTAATAAAGCTTCTTTTGCCCTCATCCATTCCTTAGTCAAGACCACTGCCAGGTTTTTAATCATAAAGTCACTTCCTTCATGGGTTGAGGGAGGTGAATCCTGACTGATTACTGGAAGGATAAAACTAGAAATCTCAGTTCAGTAAAGTTTCACCCGAAACATTCTGTTCTGAAAGAGTCATCTTTTCTTCCAGAAAACCTGGCGTGGGACTCTGTCCCCTGGGCCAGGTTACACCTATGTTTTCCAATGTCTCTAATGCTTGGCTACAGTGTACGTGTTGTTCACTTAAAAGCCAGTAAAACTGAAGGTACACAATGGGCTCTTAGCCAGACTGAGGACTAACACTGAGTAATTTAAAATTCTTCCTGATCAAACGTGTCTTTGTGAGATTGGCGGAGATAACTTGTTCCTTGGGCTATCCAGCCGGGAACCACGCACCGATGCACCGTCCCAGATGGTCAGCCTGAGCTGCCCCCGGGGGTTGCATGATGTGTCGTTTACATGCCCGGGGCTTGGGGACCCCTGGCCATGCCTCTGCCAGCTCCCTCTTCCAGACACAAGTCTGTACTCAGTTTCAAACCATGACTAAACGCCTTTGTGTTTTAAGAATATAATGGGATACTTATATTTCTCCATTATGTAGACGGGATTGAAATACATTTTCTATCAGTTGGCGGGGGATGGACATAAGCATAGGAAAACTGACTATGACGGAAAGTGAAGGACCTGTTAAAAGGGAAGTGTGGTGGGATAACCCTGGCAAATGATTCTGGAAGTTTCAAAGAAGTCTTGAGGTGGAAGTCTGTCAGTCCCGAGAGTCTGGAGGAAAGGTGAGCCCTTTAAGGTCCTTGTCACGCGGGAGTTGTAATTGGGGCTCTCCCTTGGAGTGCAGGAAAAGAGTTCATGTGACGTCCAGACCAAGTGACAGGAAACCTGGATTCCAGTCCTGGCTCTGCCTCACAGTGCCGTCGTGTGACGCAGGGCAAGACCCAGACCCTGTGGTCCACGGTCTCCTTTGTCTGGACTTCTGCCGAGGTTGGAGTGATGACCTGTGGTTCTTTTTGTCTCTGAAGAGCTTGCAGATCCTTTCCAAATACAGCCGATTTTAACGGTCTCCTGTACTACAGGTGCACCTGTGGTGGAAGTCTGGGACACATCCGCTGCCTTCATCTTCAGAGACACACTCTCTTCACCTCACTGGCTTACATGGGATTGAGTGACCTGCTCCTCTGTTCACTGGAAGCCATGTTGTTTCCTTGAGATTCACTCCTCCGTGGCTTTACATTAGTTGAATGCTGACGTTAACTTTTTTACTTCTCTATTTTAGTTTAACTACTAGGGGCATCTATTAATGATATTTCAACCTTCCTACCATGCCACTGACCTGCATCTAGGTCCGTTCATTTGTTTGTGTATTCATTCAACAAACATTAAGCTTCTCCAGTGTTCCAAGCCCTGCAAAGGCTGGGATTGAGGTTGCAGAGTGGACAAGCATGTGTTCTGTCGTAATAATCACAACATTGTGTACTCTATTCCAATAAAAGCCAACGCAGTGTCATGAGACCACATAGGAAGCAGCTCTTTACTCTATTACGTTCCTGAAACAGAAGATCTTGTCTCCTGACCCTTAAATCCACTACTAACCAATAAACCATATTCTGATCAGAACTCTCTGCTTGCTTCCATATTATTGAACAATTTTCCTTCTGCTTCATATTCTGGTTAGTCACTGAAATGCACCTAGTCACTTACTTCTCTGTCCCCACGTAGTTTCTTCAGAAAATGGCACTTACATTTATTTCTGTTTTCTCAAATGGGTATCAGGTGGAAAATGTTGAGAAGAGTCAGCTACATTTGGAAATCACTCCACAAAGAAAAGTTGCTCTCTAAGGTATTGTACTTACTAGTAAAGACATAATAAAAATTAGAGATAAAAATGTAGTAGTTAGCCAATTATATTTAGAGTTGGTTTATTCAAATGTATTTTTGTTCTTAATGGCCTACCCTAGAGGTGTTTGAATGCCTCAGTATTTGAATGTCCAGAGATAACCTGGAGATGTGAGATTTGTTCAGAGTGTGGCTAGAAATCAAGGGCGTGAATCTGTGAAGAGGAAAAGCAGAAAAAGAAATCTGCATAGAGGTATGACGAACGATGACAACGAAATACCGTGTTTTTCTGAAAAGAAGACAACCTCTTTATCTACATAGTTTAATTGGAAAAAGGGGGTGCACTGAAATTTGAGAAAATCAATATGTCTTGATGAAAGGAAGCAGTTGAAGGTTAACATGTTTATTGATAGTTAAACACAGCATAGAATTAGTTAGATTAGAATTAGATTCAAACAATTTAACCAAAGTAAAAGCGAGGAAGAATGTTAAGATAGAAAACACAGTGCCTGTAGTGCAAGTTATACAGAAACGTGAGGTACATAAGCTGAAGACAGTAATCGCGTCACTTGTCGGAAGGACTAATGCCGCAGACGCCATGTTGGAAGGCAGGTGGGCAGTGGCCTGAGCTGTCCTTTCTTCCAACCCGGGAATGAGTAATACCTGCCGTGTGTCTGTTGGATTTTAAATGGTTCTCTGACCTCTTCTAGAAATTTTCAGAAATGAGGTGTTTTCTAATCTGAAAATCGGATTACATTCTCTAGGTCTTCTAGTTGCAAGAATCTTCCTCATAGTGCACCCTCCTGTGCCATCTGCCTGGCTCTGGGCTCTGAAGATGCGCGAGGCCAACCCGTTCTTTCTTCACTGTGACAGCCCTTTGTGAATACTTGAAGAATCTGGACGTGCTTTTTCCGAGTTGCTCTTCTCAACCTCAGTATCTCCCAGTTTTCAAATCATCCTTCATAGGAGCTTGTTTCCGTACTTTTCAACATCCTGGGCCTCAGTTCCTCAAGGTTCCTTTGAAACTGTGGGGCTGACACCTCTGACAAGGTCTGAGCTTTGCTTGAAGGGCCAGTGGGCTCTTATTCATCCAGCTCAAGGTTATGTTTCATTTTGAAGGGTAGTCCTATCATGTTATTGTTTATAAAGAGAGTTTAGTATTTTTATTCCCAACCTTTCTGAGCCTTGGGTATATCTATTCTAGGGTTTTTTGTTTGTTTTATTTACAGACACTAATTGAGCACCATGCTGTTTCAGGTGCAGTGTCAGGCCCTGGGGGCAAAAGATGGATTAGATTCTGACTGGAGGATTTTATGATGTCTATGTGGGAGTGACAGACACATAAAAAATAATTACAATGTGACGTGTGATAGAAATGTGAACTCGTGCTCTAAGAATCTAAGAAAAGAAATGAACTGCCTGGGAGGTGGGTAGGGACTAGTAAAGACTAACCATTCATGCCTTCATTCAATAAATAAATGTTTTCTGAGACTCTACTGTATGCGAGACTCATAGACACTCATGTGTATGATTCTGAATCCTCCAAGTATGGTATCAGGTCGTATTTTTCTGGTTTATCTCTGAAAGTTTAATGAAAGATTGTGAGAACTTCCTTGCTATGTTCCCTTGGTCTTTTCATCTTGTAATACAAGAAGAGGTTAATATCGTGAATAACTATTGGTTCCTAACGATTACTAATTTCTTTTCAAAGTACTGAAAAACTACTTGTTTTATAACTTGCTCTTGGATTCGAATATCAAGTAAAACCCATGTTGTAGTTTTACAGTTTCTAGAATATGCTTCTCCCCTTTCTTTGGAATTTACCATTTCTTCCCTTTGTTGTAATTTCTCCAAGACCAATAAAGGCAGTTTCATGATCACGTCTACATTTTCTCCAGATGCTCGTTTATGATTTGTTTGGCTGTGAGGACTGGAACTCAAAGTGGCTGGGTGCTCTCTTACTATCTCTTCCTTACACTAGGCATTTATTCCGTCTAACTCATGTTGTAATTTTAAAATTAAGTTTACTAATTAAGACAACAGACAGAAAATACTTGTGAGGAATTCAGTACTCTGACCACAGTATTGAATCCATCCCTCTTTCATTCAGTGGGTATTTATGAGTGTGAGTTGGGATCCAGATGCTGGCTTTGGATGTACCTGAAAAGAAACATCTTTAGCTCAACAATTTGTACTTTTATGCCCGTAGCTGTGGTTCATTCTGGGCTTCTAGCCTTCCTGCCACAGAATGCACAGATTTGGGTTGCTTTCATGTTATTTCTTCATTAAGCTTCTGTACCTCTGCTTCTGAAGTCCCAGTGTCTTTATATGTTTCTGTTTTTATTTTTCGTAAGGATCATTGGGGGCGTGGGTTCAGAATATTTTTTAAGCTCTATTCCTTTTAATCTCCCTGGCCAAAAAAAAAAAAAAGTACTCATCTTTTCTTTGAAATAGTAACAAAGGATAAGAAAAAGACTATAGGCAAATTGTTGGGGGAGAACATTACACGGTTAACGTGTAAATAATAAGAGAATAAACAATGGTCTAGGCACTGCACTCGGTCGAAGCTAGTCTGTACGCGGCTGTGAGTTGTGAGGGGAGCTCCCTGTCTTAAATATGCTTGATCTTTTTTCTTTAGTGCTTAACTTATTTTTTGGATATACATTTTTAGTATAATACCTATTCACATGATGTAAAACATAAGAAGTATAAAAACTACACAGTGAAAAGCTGCCCTCCTTTTCCTACATCCCGTCCGTCCAGTTCCCGTCCTCTCTTGCCCTGCTGGTGACCACAATTATTGTTTTCTTTATCCATACATAAGTAAATATGAATACAGATTACCTCTCTTTTACACAGAAGGTAGCATATTATAAAAATCGTTTTGAACCTGCTTTTTTACACTTAATATATCATAGCTCTTTCTCCATGTCAGTACACAGAGAAGGTCTTTGCTGTTTCTTAAGGATACATGTATTCCATCGATACGTGTACTATTATTTACTTACCTACAACCCTACTGATGGACATTTAGGTTGTTTCCAACGTTTCATTATGACAGACAGTGCTGTAGTGAATAACCTGGTGTATGTATTATTCCAAGTATAAGCCAGTATAGCTGCAGAATCTGTTTCCAAAAGTGGAATTATGTGTATTTGTAATTTGGATAGAAAGTTGCCAATAATATGGATCCGCCAATCACACAAGAGTAACTGTTTTCCCATAATCTCACCAACAGAAGTTTTGTCCAACTTAATTTACTGCTAAAGCTTATTATAAACAGATTTTATAACTAACAGATTTTTTAAGTCTTCCCTGATGCCTACAGCTATGACCTTTCTTCATACCCTTTGTGGAGAACATACCACTGCTCACCTCATTTTCCCTAATTTCAGAGCGTAAGTTGCCCCTTGTCATCCTCTCGCCTCAAGCTTGCATATGCAACAAGGATCATGTTTATCAAGGTGTTTTTCTCTTTTGCGTTGCCTTATGTTCAAAATACCCCTGTTGTGCAAGGGATATGCCTGTAGAGGGTTAGGTTTGTTGTGGCAGAAATGCAAAGTGAAAGAAGGAATTGTTATTTAGCTTTCTAACATCCAAAGCCAAGTTTGTTTTTTTTGTTGAAGAAAGAAAAGGGATTTTTAATATTTTTTAGTTCTCATTGACATATCAAAATTTAGATCTTACAGACTATCAAATGTACTAAAATCTACTTCTAATTTAACACAGCCAAGAAATATCTACCTGTCCTCAGTGAAAATAAAAGGAATTTTGTATGCAGTATACATAAGTATGTGTGTAATATTTTCAGGATGTCATAAGAAATCAACAAAAGGAGTATCACTAGGCAAGGTGGCCAAGTGATTTTAATGAAACAGACCTGGTTATTTAGCGTTTGGATAAGAGATATTGTGCTACAGGGTAAAGAACAAACGTCGTAATTTTAAAAACTGAACTTAAGAATAATAAAAGGCACTAGTCATTTTCTAGGTTTTGGGCCGTCTACACCAGAGGTTCTTTAACACGTGGATTCTTTTTCCACCTTTGACCCATTCAGAATGTTCTAACACTCTGAAAAAGTGGTGCACGATAATAAGAACTGGAGAATGCTAGGGAGGAGGGCAGGGTTCATTGGTTACCGAGTGAAGACAAAGGGCTGATTTGTTGCTCTTTTAGTTGCTAGAAAAGATCATTAAGGCCGGATAGGATGCACGTGGTAAAGGAGGGCACCTGAACAAACAGGTATTGAATTTGGAGAATGCCTACAAGACTCTTCTGGGCTACGTTCCCAGGGCAGACTCAGAAGTTACCTGCCCCTGCCAGGTCCCTACTAATCTCTTCCCCTCAGAAGGGAACATTTTATCCATGGCGGTATGAGGTGCCTCTTGAAAGCTCCAAGTCTGATTTTTTTCCCCTATATGCTTAACTGGTAAAGTGCAAGTTTTGAGTAATTACATTAAGTAATTTTTGATGATGGAATGAATCCAGTGTTCCCTGAAACTGCCCTCGTGGCCCCATATGAAGGAAAGACTTCACAGACACTTCAGTGTACCTACAACCAAGAAATTGATGTCAGCCTCTAGATTCAGGCTGATGGCTCCTGGAGAGAATGCAACTTCGTGGTGAATTAGAAGACATGTGGGATGCCATCTGTGAAATAAGAAACTGAACACCCTATTTAAATTCTTGGTTTTCTCTTAGCCTTTAATCAGAAATGTAAACAAGGTGCTTGGTATATTGTTCTGGAATAAACCACTGAGGCTTCCTTTGCCTTCTCTTATCATTTTGTACTGATGAAATGTAGAAAATATGCCAAGCGCTGCATCTGCATTTTTCACCACAGGCATTTAACAGAACGTCCGCTTTCGATGTACGTGGACCTGTCAGTTGCACACACTCAGTACCTGCTGCGTGGCAAGTTCAGGTTACCATCTTCCCCATCTTGTACTCTCCTCTAATGAAGCTTCCATTATGCCATTCGAATAGCCATGTTCTGCAAATGAACTTATTTACAAAACAGAAACAGACTCATAGACATAGAGAACAAAGAAGACTTCGTGGGAATTACTTATTTTATACATCTGAATTTCACTTCACTAAGCCTTCGTGGTGAGGACTTAACCCTGCTCAGCCCAGGAATTAGAGGTCTGGCAAACCTTGTTGGAGCTGTCAGAGCCACCAGGGGTTCTCAAATGACCCAAAGGAAGAGGCGGGAATGGCAGAGACCAGTAAATAACAGGAGCAAGAGCTGGTACCAGCTCTGGTTTAATTGGAGAAAATAAAGAAGTGTGATATTATTGACTGTCAAGTGTTGGGGAGCGCTGCATATCTAATATCCTGTAAAAAAAAAAAAACCAAAAAACCACTGCCCACAGAAATAAAAAAATCTAAAACTGCTTTAGAGACATGCCAGGCTCTCTACATGAAGCTCCACATCTTTCCTTGGAGTTTCAAACCCACCGTCCCCCCAGCCACCCTGGTTCCATTGCCGTCCCCTGATGTGATTTTGCTTGGCCGTCTCCCTGCCTTTACTCTGTGGTGACATTGGGCAGTTCGGGATTTTTGATGGGTTCCATGTGTGGGGAAGAACCTTTGACCCTTGACTTCTCACAGACCTATTGCCCATCTCTCTCCTTTCTATCTCCTTATTTCTCCCCCACCCACTACCTCCCAACCCAGTATCTTCCTGCACCACATAAATACTCAATATCTCAGTAAAAAGAATCTCACTTTGCAGCTAATCAAACATTTAAATACCTTGTCATTTCTTTACCTGATACAGTCATTCTTCACCCAATAAATACTCAACAGATACACCAGGCACTATGCTTGGTCCTAGGAATTCAAAGAGGAATAGGCCATGGATCCAAAAAAAAGCCTGCAGTTCTGAAGGAAACTGAGAGAACTAGATTCCCAAGAAGAAGGCTTATCTTTGATTGTGAAAATGATTTGATTTTATGGTTGCTTGTTTATACCTGTTTGGAAGAGTTCCGGATTACAAGTGATGAAAAGATGTTTTGAAAACTTTTTTGCGTTTGCCTCATTGACACAATCTTTGTTTGCTTTAAATATTGAACAATTAATAACTGTTCCTTATCATCCATTGTGGTACTTTACGCCTTTTTAGTAAAAACAATAGTTAAAGGGCCACACACTCTGACGCAGGATCTCTCAAAGTCCCCTTTCTCCGTCCACTGTGTCTTTGAAGCATGAAAAGCCTGAAACAGAATGTCACAGGAGAGATCATTTAGCCAAAGTAGACATTAAACAGCATATGGGTCATAACTTGAGAAAGTCTGGGTATAGGCAAGTGAACATGATTTTTTTTTCTTTCAACATAGGTGCCAAACGAGGGAAGGACAATACATTGGACAGTATCCCATTAGAACAAAAACTATATAAGACAACTAAAGGCCAGAGGTTTTATTTTCCCAAGAGATTAAATCTGGATGGGCAAAGATGATGGTGTCCCAAAGGACAGAGACATCCCCTGGGGAGATGCTGAACATGTCTCAAATTAATGTCTCCAGTCACACTTGAGTATTCTTTTGGCTGGAGTATTTTAATAGATATTTATTTTGAAAAAAAAAAGAGGCATAATAAAATCTATCAATTTAAATTCTGAAATTTCTAGGATATGATTTCAGTTCATTTCCCATGGATTTTACTCTTTTCTATGATGATGTTTAATATGCTTGTCATGAGAAAGAAGTATTTTCTTTTAGGTTCACTACCTGGACAGTGGTAAATAGATGATGTGGAAACTTACCTGACATGATGAAGTACTTTCTGAAATATAAATTACCTTCTCTCCATAACATTTGGTTTATGACTTAAGGATTGCCTATTTATTTTGATTTTCCCAGCCTCTAGAGTTTATGGGGAGAAATATTAGCTCTGAACCAAAAAAAAAAAAGTTCCCACACATTATATTGTTTAGCTAAGTTTTCACCTTGAATTTTCTACATATGGGTTATGATTTATGCATGAATGGTTCAGCCATTACTTTTGGAATATTTGGAATATGGTTGGTTATATTAAATAGATCTGCCACTGGAACATGCACAAGTTACAGAAAATAATAGTTAGGAATAACATCTTCTATTTGTGTAGCACATTATGCATTCATGTGTAGTTTGATATTCAATTATGAAGCCAAGCATAGGAGTCAAATAATACTATTATTCCCAGTTTGCAAATGAAAAAACTGAGACTCTGAGTGGTTATGTAATTTACTAAGAAACACACCTATCGATGGCAGAGTTCAAACCAAATTGTTTTGACTCCAGATCCAGCATTGAGTCTGTTTTTTCCTTAAAAATTATTACTTTTTCTGTTTCTCTGGGACAGTATGTCTCTGGAATCTGGAGACCTGAATTTCAATCCCAGTCCCACCATTCACTAAACATGTGGCCTAGACAAGGAACTTGACCTCACAAAGCCTTAGATCCTAAGACCATACTGTCCAGATGATGATTGACCTACATCTTGGGATTGTGAAGATTAAGTCAGATCATACTTGTAAAGCTCAAGCATGCAGGGACCACTCAATAAATGTTGGCTGTTTTAATTTTTATTCTCAGAAAAATTCTTAGGGAAATGTTTTAAGAGTTGATATGAGATTTCCACTCTTTGAACTCTCAAGTTTCAGAATGTCTGGCCCAATTCTTCAACATTTTTTCTTGTTTTCCCCACCACTAATACTCTTTGGCAAAGATGTCTAACCATGCACGAGTCCCCCAAACTCCATATTTCTTTCTTTCCCGTGGTTCAATGCACAATGGTTTAGCTAATTGCCCAAGAGCACAGACAAAAACCTAGTAGTAGAAATAAACCTAGAATGTCCTAAGGGTTCATTAGTTAGGCAGCAAAACTCAATTATTTCTATTTGGTGTTCTCTTACCACACTTAGCAATGACCTTGTAATTCCACATGTACCACATTAAGAGTTGGTCCTCTTTTTCCGTTTCTTCTACAGTATGAATTTCTTCTGCTTATAGTTCAATTTAAATGACACTGTTGGGGAAATTCTCAAGTAATAAATCAAAAACTGTCAACCTTACTCTTCTGGAACTACAATTAGATGTATGTTAGAATTTCCCACTCTATCCTACTGATCTCTTAAGTTCTTTCGTATTTTCGGTCTCTTCCTCTGTCTGGGCTGTATTCTGGATCATGTCTTCAGATGTATCTTCCAGTTCACCAGTTCTTTCTTCTGGCTGTATTGAATTTGTTGTTAAATCTATTTCTAACTTCAATTATTGTATTTTTATCTCTAGAAGTTTGCTTCTTTGCCTAATCTATTTGCATATCTTTTAACATTTCTGGTTCCTTGAACATATTCTTCAATCTTGTCTTTTAATTTATTTAAACATGGTATACATGGTTATTTTGGAGTCTGTATTCACTAACTCCATTATCCAAAATTCTTGGTGGGGGTCTATTTTTGCTGTCTGTTGTTTCTGTTAATTGTTTTTCATGATACCTTATTTCCTTGTGTATTTAGCTAGCTAGATTGTGTGTGTGTGTGTGTGTGATGTGTGTGAACTACTTATTTTCCTTGGAATTTTGTGTGTGACAGTTCTTGAACCCAAGGCAATTATGCATTTGTTTAGAGAGGTTTGGCATCTACTTGTACCAGAACACGACCTGAGGGTACTACCCATCAAAGATCACTCCAAATCAGAATTTTGGCGTGAAATACTTTGGACTACCTAAGTGGTGTGAATTTGAGCTCCAAGCTAACATAAAGCTGATTTGTACACCCAGATTTTAACAGAGATTCTTTCCTTCTCTGTTTATTACCTAAATTTGAAAATATACTATTTATTTGGTATTTCCTTGTGTGTAGAGGAGTGGGTGTCATTTTCTATTCACTTACACTAAGGGTGTAGCCCTTTGCAGTCTCAACTTTATGTTGGAGAGGAAGTCAGACTACGCCCCATCCAGGAGCAACCTCTAGACTCTACCAGCACCTGGTGTGGTCATGAATATCAAAGCTAAAGTTCATGCAGTTTAGCAAGTGGCCCAGAGACAGAAAGTCAGTTGCAGTGCTCCACTTAACCATGAGTTCCTTCACCTAGGTTTTAGGTCCAAGAATTTAAATATTTTATCTAGAATGTTTAAGTTGTTTCCAGCAGGAGGGTCAGTCCATGTACCTCTTGTCCATATTGCTCAAAGCAGAAGTCCCTCCCCATATTTTTACTGATTCCATCTTTGTTTCAAATTTGGTATCAATTTGGTAAAACTGGCAACTGGAAGAAAGAAATTGGATCCAATAAAAATCAGAAACATGTGGCTAAGCAGTCAACTGAGTTACTCCTTCTAGACAATTATACAGTTTATGCTCCTGAACTCACTCTACAATCGTGACAGTAACTGTCTTGCCAGGATGGCGACCACACTGGCCCTCGCTCAGAGGAAAGCCTCAGACTGATTCCATGCAGGCTCCCAAGATCCACAGGGCCCTCAGCCTCTGGCTTGATGTGTCCAGAACTGCTGAGTATCAGAGTGAGAGTTGCCCACACTAGAAGGGCAGGCAGACAGTGGGGAAGGATGGGAGCGTTACATGGACTCTTTGGGATACAGTGGAGCTTATCCAGAGAAGTTCAAAGAGAAAGGGCTAAATTGACCAGCAGGTGTTCTCCCCGGAAAGCAACAAGAAAGATAGATCTGGGTTAATGAAGCTTCTCTGCAGCTCCCTAGGCTCTTGCCAGAAGACCTTTCACCTTGACCCCACTGCCCCAACCACGACTTCTACCCCCTCCAGCTACAGTTTTCTGCCCTCCGGCCTCTGCTCCTCCTCTGTTCTTTTCCAGTCTGATGTCATTTATCAAGCAGAAAAATCTCTCTGTATAAATAGGCATCCAAATCTTTTTCTGTGGAGCAGTTTTCATAGCCTTTTGAGCAAGACAAAGACAAATTTGGAGCTGTGGGTTAAGGCTATAGTTTCAAGATTTGTTTTTAAACTTTCTTGAACTGGTTAAATACTTAGAAAATTCAAAGTACATACAAAGAATATTCACTTTTTTTTGGTTTTATAAGTTAGAATGTAATTTTTTAAATGACTGCAAACTAAGTTTCTGCTGTTGTATCCGTTTACTGCATGAGAAACCAGTCAAAACGCAGCGGCTCAGTGCACGTTTATTGTTGCCCTACATCCGAGGCTCTTCACGTCTGGGCCTGCTCGCCGGGGGCTGGGCGGCCCAGGACATGCTCATTCACACGCCTGGGCTCTTGGTGTGGGCAGCTCAGATGGACGGGGCCTACTTCACATGGTCTCTCATCCCAGGAAGCCAACCCAGGCTCGCTCATGTGTGGCCAGAGGGTTCTCAGCAGCAAGGGAGGAAGCCCCCGCACACAAGTCCCGTTGACAAAGTCAAGGCACTCGGGCACGCTCAGATCTGAGGGCTGGAGAGATAGTCCTCCTCTTGCCGGAAGGAGCTTCCAGGTCCTACCTCAAGTGAACAAACAGGAAAGGATTGTGATCATTTATCCTGCAGTAGACTGCAATTAAAAGTATCGTTTCATAGAAAAGAAGTATCTTACCAAAAAAAGGATAAAAATTCCTTAAGTGTCAAATATTTTTAGCTTTATGAAAAAACCTCACCACATTGTCCTTTATTATTATTATTACTATTATTACTAATACCAGGGACTGTTGAAAACTTCATTCCTGTCCCATTATTTTAGAAAACAGTGCTGGGAACTCTGATGTTAGGAAACTGAATCTGGCAGCATTGCCTCAGATTAGAGAGAAGTGTGGGAGACTAGAGGGAGGGAGGCCAGATAAGAATCTAGATAAAAGATAATGTGAGAGCATGAAGTGGCCGCTGAAATAATGAGGGAGCAGGGAAATATGATAAGTAGCTTGGGGAGGCTGGGCTGTGTGTGCGCATGCGCACGTGCGTGCGCGTGCATGCGTGTGTGTGTGTGTGTGTGTGTGTAAGTGTAAGGGAAAGGATGGAGTCCTGATCCTGGGGATTCCACTTTGGGATAATCCAAAAACTTGATAAGCATCCATATTGGTTTTCTATTATAGAGTGACAAGCTGCCACTAACTAAGCAATTTAAAACAACACCCAAGTTTTATCTCACCGTTTGCTTGGGTGAGGAATCAGGCATGTGTAAGATTGTTGGCAGAACCCAAATCCTTGCCGTTGTAGGACTGAGGACCTCGTGTCCTTGTTGGCTGTGAGCTGGGACCCTGCTGTCTTCAAGCCAGGAAGGGGACGTCGAAGCCCCCACGTTGCTGCCAGTCTTCTGCCCTCTTCTGCCACCAGCCCGAGGAAGCGCTCTGCTTTGAAGGGCTCATGTGATCAGATCCACCCTGCTCGATAATCTCCCTGTTTTAAGGTCACTTCTGCCATGTGACATAACACTGCATAACACGATCGTGGGAGTGGTATCCCATCAAATTCATGGGGTCTGGGGATTAGGGCAGGACAGCTTTGGGGAGCAAGTTTAGAAATTCTGCCTACCAAGTCATCTCTTGGAAAAGGATCATGATACAATTAGATTTTTTTTTCATGAAGATATAATTTTATTGTGAAATCATTATCATCTCACAGGATTATTGTTTGACACATATATTAACAATAAGAAAATGGGTTGTGAATATAAAGAGCTGGAATGAGCACAGACTCACAGACTTGGACTTTGAAAACCACTTCCACTCCTTATAAGCCAGATGACCTTAGGCAGGTCAGTGGCATCCAGGGAACATCTGTCCTCCTTGGGGTTTTATTACTGCCTGCCACTAGGTGTCACCTACACAGCTGGGAGAAGATAGGCTCCTGGTGGCTGTTTCCTCTCTCTCGGGGGCTGAGCTGGACAGAGATCTGTGAAGCCTCCCTGTTGTGGATTCCAGAATTCGAGCTCCTCGTCCCTGGGAGATTCAGAAGCTTGGAGGGACCTTGAGGAATCCAGTTCTTCCAAAGGTGCGAGCCACACACAGGAAGGGGCTTATCATCTGTGCAGTAGCGGGTGGGGATATGGGCAGTGATGAGGAGTTGGGCTGCGATGCCTTTGTTAGGCCTTGCACGTCCTTCGCCGAGACCCTGCGGCCTGTCTGGTTTTGGCAGGGAAGTGAAGCTTTCTCTTGCCCTGCCCGCCTCAGCAGCAGGGCTTGGCACCTTCGAGACAGGAGTGGATGATATGGGCCAACGTGAAAACCAAAGTGCTGGCATTCAGGGTCCCCGATGGAGGGGTGGAATTCCTTGTTGCAAAGGCCCACGTGACACTTGGCTGGACCATGTTCCCTGTTGTTCTTCACTGGGTCAAACAAACAAACTTTAGATACACCTCGGGGCCCCCAGGTTTCTAGGTCAGGAAGCCGGCAGGAGAGGGCAGAGCCGTGTAGATTTGAGCCCAGGCCCACTGCACGCAGGGTGCCAATAGAATATAAGACTTGCCAAAGAGAACTCTCTTGCAGGATGTAGGATGCAGGCTTAGAAAGAGACGCCAGCTCTAAATTGATGCTTGTTACCTGTTGCGGTGAATGAGCTACAATGAGGGGATGCATGTCTCTGTTTGCTTCTTTAGCACCAGACTCCAATTATCCAACTCCTCTAGCAGTAACTGCACGTGTCTTCATTAACCAGTACCACTGAGGGAAATACAGACCTCACCAGTTCAACAGCATGTTTTATTAATGCATATACTCTCTGTGCAGAGATCACTGATGTTTCAACAGCTTAATGGTACATGGAAGGCTTCAGTATTTTAAAAGCACACAGAAAAATGTAGAAGGTGAATTATAAGGGAATTGATTTTTTTTTCTTACCTTGTGTTATGGGAAAGTTAGTCTTGAGAGTTATCCCCAGAAGCTGGAGTCTGCAGCCTTTTATGACTTTCTCAAAAGGACATTAGAATATGAAGAAATAACAGGAAAACAAATCAGTTGTGACTTTGCAAAAGACATTTATCCAAGCAGATAATACAATAACTAAATCAAATAGTCAAGAGATCCAGACAGTGTAAAGGCCATGCAGGCCTGTACGTCTTAAGGTTCCAGCAATCCAGTGGGAGGCTGGGATCTGTGAACACCCGTGGGCCCCTGGCCCTCCCCTCGGCTGGCTTGTTCTCTGGTAGGGACCTGGGTTTTAGTCAAGGACCTGTTTCTCCTTGCCAGTGAGTCTCGGCTTGTGTCTGGAACATGAATTCATGAAGTGTAAAACCCTGGGATCTGTGCACATGCCCATGTCTTTTCTTAACGTCATTTATAATCTGATCATTTTTCCTGTTTCAGTTCTGCCTTGACAGTCCTGAGTAGGTTTATTTTTTATGCTAGAAGTAGATTTTGATGATGAGTTTTATTTTTTATGTTAGAAGTGTATTTGGTGATGAGAGAGATTTCCGGTTTTGCAAAAGGAGTAATAAGGATGAATGGCGTTTTCAAGTTTTTACTGTGGATCAATATAATCCTCATTATGACCCTTTGAGATAGACTGTTATTAGGATCTCAGTTTATAGAAACCTAGGGCTCAGGAGGGTTTAGTGATGTTCCCAGGGACGTGGCTAGGATGGGATGGAGCAGGACTCCTAGCTGGGCTGGAGGACTCCGGACACCACTTTGGGGCGTCTGCCCATGGTGTTTGTCAGGAAGTTTGTGCTCAGCTGAGCCTGTGCCCGGAGTCTGCCATGTCCCCATGGACAGCGTGTCCCCGTGGACAGCACGACACAGGCTGGCAGTCCTAAAGGGGAGTCCCCAGCCCTTCAAATATATGAAATGGGCTTTCGCCTTCGGGCCGTCTTTCTACCGCCCATTTCAAAGGAGGAACTGGTTTTTCCAAGCCCCACTCTCCTAATTTGCAAAATGGGTTTAATTTTTCCTCTGCTTAAAATATATAAAGTATAGGAACCTCAGACCACATAACGTAGTCATGTACTCATGGAAATATCTTGAATCACCTCATATCAGGTGTTACTGTAATTTTCTCTTATAATTCAGCTTTAATACATAGATGAGGCCTAAATTCTATTTTTCCTTGAAATTACCATGCCATTTTCTGATAAGAATTACTTTTAGATTCTTTTTAAAATACCTAGATTGTATTTTGCTTCTTGACAGATATTTTGTGAGTTTTGTGTTTCCTCTGGAAAAAGGGGTAGGGAGGTACGCCATTGAAAAACAACTTTAGAGCACTTTCTTGCTTGCCCCTAAGATAGCATTTAATGGAGAATCTCCACTCCCAGGACCGTGCTGGCATCCTCACTCAGCCGAGTGTGCGGGAGCATTTTGAGATGAATTCTTAATCACGAAGAATAAATTCTTCTAAGAGCAGAGGCCAGGCTGAGGGGAAATATGCTCCCTGTTTGTAAGGATTATCTTATTTGTCCATGACAAAAGCTCTGCTGTGGAGGTCACGTTTTCTCCCAGAATGTTCTAGAAAGTGAGTTACAAGAACACAGTAAATCAAATCTCGTCTCCTGCACATTGGTGAGTGTCACGGCCAGGCCAGGACACAGTGGCCTGATTGCACAGATTAAGCTGCTGAGTGACTTCACCTGGCGGCCACAGGAGGCATCAAGTGTCACCTTGGAAATGGACCACGGGCCAAGATGCTCTCCAACTTAGAAGCAACCCAGATCTATGCAATAAAAATAAAACATGGCAACCAGTTTGGGTGGATCACCTTTCTTAAACTCAGTCAAATTTTTATTTTAAAAAAAGTCAAAATTCTTTTAGTCTTTCAAAAAAGAGACATTATCTTCTACTCCAAAAACAGCCAGAGTTAGACTTGTGTACAAAGTGCATGTTTAGTTGGTGACACATTGGAGAATTGTTTTTGTGAAGTAGCATGTTCCTTTTCTTCCCCATAAAATAATTTTTGAGCTGTAACTTTTGTTCAGATTATTGATGTGCCAGGTTTTGTACCCTAGCCAGTATGATTTTATTTAACCTTATTAAAGTGCCGTGAATGTCAGAGTGGCTCAGTTCCTGTTTAAACCTTCCTATGCTAACATCATATATCCGTCTGAAATTCCAAGATCATGTGCCTCAAAATAATCAACAGGCAGATCATTTATTCAAAACTCAGTTTCCTCTTCCCAAAGCTTAGGATCTTATTTATTCTTATTGTAAAACTGCTTAAAAAAACAGAACTTGGAACTGCCCCAAATGAATCTTTGTTATAGTTATTTACTGAATATATACACATGACTTTGATTTTGGTATTGATACAGAATCAGTCACTTCAGCGATGGTCTTCGTGTGAATATTCCTACTCTCACCTTTCCCTGTTTGCTGTCCTTTTCTTCCTCTGCCCCGTGTTTCAGCCCACATCACTTCTCTAGTTGAACCATCTTTCTGGTGGCCCACCAGCAGGCATACCCTGGGAATTAGATGAACTCTACCTACCTTCTCTCTTGAATTCAGGGTACTAGGTGTCAGGGTACTCCTAGCATGCAAGAAACTGTACAGAGCATTTGCATGTTTAGCTATGTTGCAGGCATGTGAGGGCAGGGGTTTATTTTATACCTTTCTGGGTTCTCATTTTTTAAAAGTATGTCTCGATGGCTTAAATTATTTTATCTTCTTACCTTTTGACTCCTCTCTTGAATGATTTTTTTCATTCCTCTTATGTGGACTATAATGGCTTGTTCTACGTGGAAGTTTATGGTAAAATTTTTCTCTCTCCATCTATGTCTGCCTTTATTCTCTTTTCCCAAATCCACACCCAGTGTCACTCACTGCAGGGAGAACTCAGAGGTCAAATGGGAGCTGCTGAAAACGTCCAAGGCGCAGAAGCACAGCTGACTGTAGGAAGCCCCATCGTGCCATGCAGAGATAAAAGGGGAAAAACTCAAAAAAAGGACTTTAACCTGTTAGTATCAGGAACTTTGTCTTTAAATTTCTTTCGGAGCCTAGAACTAGTGATTCTCAACCTCTTAGACTCCACTTCCCCTTTTACCACAAATATTTTGTCACATCCCCTTTATTTTTCTGAAATGAAATTGAAAGATACTACAGTTCACCTACCCATATAATTTCTTTTTAAAAAAATTTGTATTTAAATATCCATATCTGGATCTCAT